CAAAGTCAGAAATGGTTTCTTACCTCTTGGAGATTACACTCTAGTGGAGTGACTGATGTGAATCAAATTCTTCATCGTGTGTAAGATTGTATGGATTGTGGTTTCCCTTCACTTCTACTTTCAGAGCCACTCTTTAGAGCACTGATTCTTCAAGTGTGCTCCCCATCTAGCCACATGAGCATCACCAGGGAACTTGTTAGAAATGCAAATTCTCAGGCTCCCATCCCAGACCTACTGAATCAGAAACTCTGGGAATGAGACCTTCCAGGTGCTTGTAATGAATGCTAAAATTTGAGAACTACTGCCTTAAAGGTAATTAATATTTTAAGCTTGGTTTATTATTGCTAATATTTCAGTGTTAAAAATAACCAACAGCATATGCCAGATTATATAGTTATTAAGCATTGAGTGACTTTTAAAATGTTTAATAAGGGGCCGGCCTGGTGGCACAGTGGTTAAGCGTGCACATTCTGCTTCTCAGCGGCCCAGGGTTTGCTGGTTTGGGTCCTAGATGTGGACATGGCACTGCTCAGCAAGCCATGCTGTGGCAGGCGTCCCACGTATAAACTAGAGGAAGATGGGCATGGACGTTAGCTCAGGGCCAGCCTTCCTCAGCAAAAAGAGGAGGATTGGTGGCAGTTAGCTCAGGGCTAATGTTCCTTAAAAAAAAAAAAAGTTTAGTAATATATTCATTTAGAATTTATTAAGCACGTATCTTGTATAGTAATTCCGTCTCTAGAGTCTTAGTTTATGTGTACTCCTTTTGCTTAGCAAGCTTTTTTCCATAGAGAACATTGTCTACAAATGCTGTCTTTTTTTTTTTTTTAAAGATTGGCACGTGAGCTAACAACTGTTGCCAGTCATCATCTTTTTTCTTCCCCCCTGCTTTTTTCTCTCCAAATCCCCGCAGTACATAGTTGTATACTTTAGTTGTGGGTTCTTCTAGTTTTGGCATGTGGGACACTGCCTCAACATGGCCTAATGAGCGGTGCCATGTCTGTGCCCAGGATCCGAACCCTGGGCGGCTGAAGCGTGGGGCACGGACTTAACCACTCGGCCACAGGGCTGGCCCCGCTGTCTTTTTTTTTTCTTTTTTTTATTTGATTGAGGTATTGTTCATATAGAATATTATGTTAGTTTCGGGTGTACAGCATAATGATTTGATATCTGTATGTATTGCAAAATGATCACCACAGTAAGTCTAGTTAACATCTATACAAATTCTATGTTTCTTTATGGAGCCTGAGGGATTCCTGGAAATTTTCTATAACTTGTAAAATTATCAGAACCAGTATAACATTAGCATCACTGTATTTCAGGATTTACATAGAATCATAACATTTTAGTTGGGGTAGACTCTAAAGATAGCCTGGTTCACCCACTCATTATATAGTATAGAAATCTGTGACTCAGAGAGGGTCAATGTCTTCTTGTACAGGGTCATTCAGTAGCTGGTAGGCCTCAGTGGTTGGAGGCCTTAGCTGAAATTGGTTCATTTTGTAATTTTTTTTGGTAAAGCAATAGCAGCTTCTGATAACTTTTTATGATTATGCCTTACAGTAGTTTCCTTGTCTCTCCCATGGAAGGATTACTTGAGGAGTATAGTTATTGCTGTGATTAGGTTCTCTGTTAGTTATGCAAAAGTTATTGCAGGTAAACTTTCTTAGTTAGTGCACCTAAACAAGTCTTGAGTCTCAAGGCCCCAGAACTTGTAGGCCAGTCTGCCAGTTGAATGATGGAAATTATAGAAAGACATCAAAAACTTCTCATTGTGGCTGGCCCTGTGGCCGAGTGGTTAAGTTCGCATGCACTGCTGCAGCGGCCCAGGGTTTCACTGGTTTGGATCCTGGGCACGGGCATGGCACCACTCATCAGGCCATGCTGAGGTGGCATCCCATGTGCCACAACTAGAAGGACCCACAACTGAAATACACAACTATGTTCTGGGGGGATTTGGGGAGAAAAAGCAGAAAGGAAAAAAAAAAGATTGGCAACAGTTGTTAGCTCAGGTGCCAATCTTTAAAAAAAAAAAAGACAAACTTCTCACGGAACACTTCCAGTTTTTGCCAAAGACTTCAAGTTTGCAGCAGGAAAAGAGGAATGTGAAAACATGAGATTGGAGTAGATATTCTTTTAATTGCTAGTGATTTTGAATGTCTCCTAAGTAGGCAGCATTGTGGTAGGCATTTGTAAGGATTCAAGGAAGAGAGAGAGATGATTAGAACTAGAAGTAGGAAATAGACTAATGTCTCAATGATTTATTTAAAAATGAAATGAAATACATTCTAAATACCAACCGTTTTCTATATTCAAATACTTTTTAAAAAGAAATTTATTAAACATTGTTTGTAATTTCTTGATAATAATTGGTTATGTAAGATTAGAATCTCATTTACTACTCATTTACCACATTCTAAAAATGTAACCAGGAACTAAAAAGTGAGTCTGACATCTTTTAATTTGGTTCAGCCAATTTTGCTATGAGTGTGCACTGGGAAGCAATGCACCTTATTTTCAAAACCCTCTCTCTTCAGAGAGAATGTCATTTCTAGGAATTATGAGTTTTTTGGGAAAATTTTGTTCTGTTGATGGCTTAAAAGAAAAAGTTAAAAATAGCAATTTTGCTATAAAATTACCACACTTTTTTGTTTTGAAACAATAGGACATTTGCTACTCTTAAAAGATGGGGAAGATTAGAAAATAAGTATAGTCTATTTTTTCATAACACATCGTTCCTGTTAAAAATTTAAAGGTACTTTTAGTCATATGAAACAGATTACTCACTTAAAGTGAAACCTGGCAATTTTCTGATTCTTGAACTCCTCACTAGCGTTTAACTATATTAAGTACCTTAATTTTTAAAAATCTTTGTAGTTTTAATTTATTTATACAAACTTGATTTATAGTTTTTTCTTTTTGAGTGGAGGAACAGTGCATCAAAACAGTTTTATAAACAGAATTGTGGATCAGCGTTGTTATATCAAGTCTTTATTGTTTATCAAGTCTTTCTTTGTCAGTAAGATGACATCTACAAAATTACTAGAGTCGTTATCATAGAATAGCATTATAAAATTTAAAATATTTTGAATTGTATTTTTATATATTAATATATTGAATTATATCCAGTTATACTGGATAAGGTAAAACTGATCTTTTAGAAATAGAACCCATTTTTATTTTTAAAATTAGGAGCATGTGGCAGTTTCTACAAGAATTTAGGTGCAGTCATATATTTGACATCTGTTTTGACAGTTTTATAAAACACCTTATCAAGAATAATGAAAGCAAAATGCATTAATTAAATAAATTCAAATATCCAAAAACGGGGAGCAGAAGCATTCTTTTATAGATAAAAGTGCTATAGCTTTTTACTGGAAAATAATGTTAGTCAAAAAAGAAATTAATGATGGAAATCTAGTATGGTTTTGGCCTAAATTTTAATTATTATAATTTCTTAAATTATTACTTTGTGAAATAATTTAGAAAGAAGCACCTCGTAAGTTTTTTTTAATAAAAGACAATGTTAACCTGGACAGAGATTAAGGCAGAGAATTGTCCCATAAACAGGAATTATAAACGCTAGGTCTAAGTTGAGTAAGATGTTTCAGTGGAGACATAACCAGGTAAGTTTATTTATTTTTTTCTTCCCTTTTTTGGAAATAAGCTTTGGCATAAACACAGATAGATGGGTGTAAATGACTTGTGTTCTGAGGTTTTTATTTTATGTAATGTTTCTGTGTTTATGCAATATATAGTTATATGATTAGAGGTGTCAACTGCCCAAATTTGTAATTTAGTAAATTAACCAAGTGAAATCAAAGGTTCTACATGCAGTTTGCTTTTGCTGACTCTAATTTTTATTCATATTATTAATCTTTCTTTAGAGACATAGGTCTGAATTTAAGGCATACAGGGCAAAGTGACCAGTAAAAACATCCTGATTTCCGTAAAATCTGGTATGTAAGGTATTTCTAATACAGAAATAATTTAACAAAATTCAGTATTTTCATTTTTTATAGTGTGTGCTCTGTGGAAAATGCATAATTGTCCGTATTATATTTTAGAACAAAAAGGGTTCTGACTGATTTTAGTGTTCTTACTATCATCTTTTTAAAAAAACATTCTTTTTTTAGAGCAGTTTTAATTTCACAGCAAAATTCAGCAGAAAGTACAGAGTGGCCATATACTCCCTTCTCCAACACAGGAATAGCCTCCCCCACTATCACCATTCCTACACCAGAGTGGTACATTTGTTACAATCACTGAACCTATATTGACATGTAATTATCACACAAATTCCATAGTTTACATTAGGGTTTACTCTTAGTGGTACATGTTCTGTGGGTTTTGAGAAGTGTATAATGACATGTATCACCATTATAATACCATATAAAATATTACTATCACTTTTTAACTCTGGGTTTCTATTGCTTTTTAAATTTTTCTTACCTCAGAAGAGTTTAAACTCCTTTATACTTGAGGTAGAGAAAGTCCATTGACATTGTTTCTCCATGTTTAGAGAGTCAAATTTGAAGTAGGTAAGTGGTATAAATAGGTGGTGTTTAGTAGGAAAGTCATGTGGGCAAGATCACACCACTTAGACTTCCATAAACTGATTCCATATGTTGTATATAGTTTGGAATTCTTGTGTTTTCTTTGTTCCATTTCCTTTTATGTTAATTCTGGTGCATCAATTGCAGGTTTTATTTTCCTTTCAGATGAAATTCTTCGTAATGTAAAACAATGTTCTACTTGTAAAATTCTCTTGTTTTGATGTCATATTGCCATAATTACATTAGAACCTCCTTTATGGGCATTTGGCTGTAATTTACTAAGTAGGCTTTAACTCCTTCTCATGTACTTTTCCGAGTATTTTTAGTTTTTACTATTTCTTCAGTTTTGAGAACAAATTTTAGAATTTTTCTTATGTTTCACCAATTTTTAAAAAATAGCATTTTAAATAACAGATCTTACGTTTTTCTTTTTTTTTAACCCAATAGTTTGCTTGCCTAAACTGGATTTGAAGCAATTCAGACTACTGGAAATCTGCCATTTTACAGTATCACAATTGGAAAGAAGCAGGTTTTCAAATAATGGAAGAGTCTAAGACCTCTAAAAATGAAAATCATGAACCAAAGAAGAATGCTTGGGCTCTTTCTGAAGAAAACAAAGCAGTTAAGGTTATAACTAATCAAACTTTGAAAGTTAGAAATGATAAATCCATAAAAGAAATTGGGACCAGCTCTCCAAATAGGAATAATAGTAAAAAAAATAAGCAAAATGATATTTGTATAGAAAAAACAGAAGTTAAATCATGTAAAGTAAATGCTGCCAACGTTCCGGGCCCTAAAGATTTGGGATTAGTCCTTCGAGATCAAAGTCATTGCAAAGCAAAAAAATCACCTAATTCACCGGTTAAAGCAGAAAAGTTACCTGTTTCACAGGCAAAAGTAGAAAAGGCACCCAGTTTACAGGCAAAAGCAGAAAAATCACCAAAGTCACCTAATTCACCAGTGAAAACAGAAAAGGCACCCAGCTCACAGGCAACAGCAGCAGAAAAGGCGCTTAGTTCACAGAGGAAAGCAGAAAAAGGACCCATTTCTCAGATGAAATCAGAAAAGGCGCCCAGTTCACCAGCAGAAGCAGAGAAAGTGCCCAGTTTACTTTTGAAAGAAAACATGAGACAGACAGAATTACAGCAGATTGGGAAAAAAATTCCAAGCTCCTTTACTTCTTTGGACAAAGTGAATAGTGATGTTGTAGAGGGAAAAAAATCTGCTCTGGAAAACTCGCCACGATCTCAGAAGCAGCAAACACGTACAGATAATACTGTTGATTCTGATGATAGTGCTTCAGGAATTGAAGACATATCGGATGATTTGAGTAAGTACAAATTAGATTATCCGAGTCACATTTTTGGAGGAATTTTCCTGTACTGATATTCTTTAGGTTATCCCTAGTTTGAGTTTAATTGCTTTAATTACAAAAAGGACATTAATAATACAACTTCTAAGCTGAAAAAGAAACTTTTATTTATTATGGTAGCTAAAAACCCTGTGCAAATATAAACTTAATGGCTCCTGTAGTTGGTATGTACACACATAGACTCACACACATATTCTCTCTCGCTCCCTCTCTCTGTTTTTAAATGGTCCTGGTAATATATTGCTCATCCATTCACCAAACATGTATGTATTGAGTTCCTATTACATGCCAAGCACGTGTTTACAGTGGAAAACCAAACAAACACAACCTCAAGGAAGCTTCTAGTTAGGTGGGGGTGATATGGAGAAGCAAAGTGGTGATTTAGTTCAGTGCCAAAAATTTAGTGTTGAGAAACTACATGATTTAATTGAGTGATTTAGACTTTGGTTTGAGAAAATCCGTGATATAAATATGAGACTGCTAGTATGACTGAGATTCGGTGTGACTGGAACAGGGAATTGGGGAGGAAAGTGGCAAAAGATGCAGCTGAAAAGGCACACAGGAGCTGGAGAATAAAGGACCTTTTTAGGACATGATAGACAGTTTGGACTTTATTATGAGTATTTCAAGAAGCCATTAAAGAGTTTTAAGCAGGGTAGTGCTATGATCAGAGAGTGAGAGAGCAAGTGATAGTATATATTTTTTATCTTTTTGCCTATAGTACAACAAATTCTTTTGACAGGAACAAGGGTGGAAACAGATTAGTTAGGACACTGCTGTAATGTATGTACTTAAGAACTATCAGTGTAAAATTCATTTTCTTTTGGGACCTTGATCTTAGCTTTAACTAATTGTTTATAAATATTGTCCATGTCTTTTGAGTACTTTAATCCTGACTTTGTTTAAATTAATGAATTTTCCCTGGCAGTCTTTTTTCCTGATGTTTCTGTGGCTAGGAGAATAAAGCCTTTCCCTGATGTTTAAACAGAAAAATAGCTATTTCTAAATCATTATTTATCATAGTTTGAGAAACCGGTAAAGAGTTCAGAAATAGCTTTTTTTATTTCTGGTGGTACACAGACGATGGCATATAGAGGTATCTTTATGTGTGTAAGAAAAAATATGAACTTCATTATTTTATAGATATGGCTTAAGACAAAGCCAAAAAAAGTAAGTCAATTTAAAGACACTATAAAATTAATAGTACTACTGGTGTTTAGATATGGGGAATCTAAACGTGATAGTATGGGATGGTTGAAGTTGGGAAATACTGTGCATGAATCACTTGCAAGGATGTGATCACTAGAGTTAGTGAAAAATCTGATTTAAAGATTATTTTTTTAAAAGGCAACAAAATAAATGAGATGACAGTGAGATAATTGAGTGTGCGCTCGAGTAAAACCACATAGGTTTTGAATCGCATCTTCCCCACTTAATAACTTTGAATTTTGGATAAGCTTCTTATCCTTTAAAACATGTCTCAGTTTCCTTGTTTTTTAAAAAGTGGACATGCTGCTGCCTATGTTATAAAGGTTAAGTGAAATAATCCAGTAGAGTGTTTCATGTTGTACCTGACACATAGGCATGCAATGGCAATGAGTATTCTTTATTATTATTAGTTCTGCAATTAAATGCAGTTTTGTGATTTGTTAACGTGGAGAACAAGTTGAACTATAGCTTAAGGAAGCTAGTAGATTAAGTAGAGTTCCTTTTGGGAGGCTTGGTTTAACAAATTAGTAAGAATGATTTACAATATAGCAAAAATTTTTTATAAATAAGTGCTTCTCATGTTTATATGTATAGTATCTTCCTTGAAGTATGTTCTTACGTAATTGTTTAACACTTTTTTCTCATATGAAAAAATCCAAGTTAATATTTGAATTAATGATTTTTCATTAGATTGCCCCTTTGTAAATTAAATAGAATAAAACCTTTATATCTAGATCATTGTCTATTTGGATTTAATAGGCTTTATAGAAATTTGATCTCAGGCCCACTTGAGATTAGTGGACTAATCTTCATTAGGCCCAACTTTGGCTCCCATTTAGCGCTTCTCCCATATTTCCTTTTGCCATTCATTCATTCACTAAATTTTTTTTTTTTTTTGAGGAGGATTAGCCCTGAGCTAACAGCTGCCAATCCTCTTTTTGCTGAGGAAGACTGGCCCGGAGCTAACATCCGTGCCCATCTTCCTTTACTTTATATGCGGGATGCCTACCACAGCATGACTTGCCAAGTGGTGCCATGACCACACCCGGTATCCAAACTGGCGAACCCTGGGCCGCTGAAGTGGAACATGCACACTTAACCGCTGTGCCACCAGGCCGGCCCCATTCACTAAATATTTTTTTGGGTGTCTCCTATGTGCCAGGTACTGATTTAGTCACCAGGATATAGCAATGAACAAAACAGACAACATTACTCTTATGGAGTTGTTATTCAAATTAGAGGAGACAGATAATAAACTTGGTAAATAACAAAAGTATTTAATAAGTTAAGTGGTGGTAAATTTTATGAGAAAAATAAAACAGGAGAGGTCATGGGGAATAATGCTTCTGATTCTGTGGCAGTGTTTTAAATTTAAATTGTCACTAAGAATGTGGCATTAGAGCAAATACTTGAAGGAAAGAGGTAAGAGAGTGAGCCTGGTGATTATTTGAGGGGACAGTAGTCTAAATCTGGGCTTCTCACACTTTAATTTGCATATGAGTCACCTGGGAATCATATTAAATGCAGATTCTTGGACTCCATTCCCAGAGATTTTTGGTTTAGAAAGTCTAGAGTGGGGCCTGAGATACTATATTTCTCACAGGCTCTGGAATGAGATTGATGTTGCTGGTCAGGATCATGCTTTTGAGCAGTATAACCTGCTCATCTCCGTACTTTTACTTACACCACTCTTCATTGTGTTTTCAACATTGCAGCCAGAATGATCCTGTTAAAATTGTTCAGATCATGTTAGTACTGTCTAGAATGTTTCAATGGTTTCCCATACCTCAGAATAAAAGCTAGTGTCTTTGCAGTGACTTGTAGGGCCCTATGTGATCTGTGGCACTCTCCCACTTCTCTGCGCTCATTCGTCTCCTTATCACCTTTTATTTTTCTCTGCTCAAATTGCCTAGTTTCCTTGCCGTTCCTCAAATGTGAAGGCAAATGTCCACCTGATGGCCTTTACATTTGCTTCTTTCTCTGCTTGGGAGACTCTTCCCCCAGATGTCCATGTGGCCAACTCTCTTACCTTCTTCACTTTCTCAGTGAGATATTTGCTGTATCACTTATCTAAAATTTACCACCCCCTCCTCCATCTCTGACACTCCTTATTCCTTTTACCTGTTTACTTTTTTCCATAGTAACTTTTTCTCTATCACCATCTGTCATATTTTTAATTTTTCTTATTTACCTTTTTATATAATAATTTTATTGAGATGTAATTCACATGCCATAAAGTTTGCTGTTTTAAAATATATAGTTTAGTGGCTTTTAGACTGTTCACAAAGTCATGTGGACATCACCACTATCTAATTGCTAAACATTTTTATCACCCTCAAAAGAAATTCCACACCTATTATCAGTCACTACTCATTACCCCCTCCTCCTAGCTACTGCCAACCACTAATCTTTCTCTCTTTATAGATTTGCCTGTTTTATGTAAATGGGATCATACAACACCTGGCCTTTTGTGTCTGGCTTTTTTCACTTAACATAATGTTTTCAAGATTCATCCATGTTGGAACATGTATCAGTACATCAGTCCTTTTTATTGCTGAATAATATTCCATTGTATGGATATATCCATTTTGTTTATCCTTTCATCAGTTGATATTTGAATTGTTTCCATCTTTTGGCTATTATGAATAATGCTGCTGTGAACATTTGTTTAAAAGTTTTTGTGTAGATGTATGTTTCCATTTCTCCATGATGTGTATATTGGAGTGGAATTGCCGAGTCACATAGTAACTCCAAGTTTAACTTCTTTTTCATGATAAAATATATATAAGATTTACCATCTTAATCATTTTTAAGTGTGCAAGATAGTGACGTTAAGTACATTTACAGTGTTGTACAACCATCATCACAATTGCAGAACTTTTTCATCACCGCAAAAGGAAGCCCTGTATCCATTAAGAGTTACTCCCCATTATCCCCCCTTCCCTAAGCCTTTAACAACCACTAATATGCCTTCTGTTTCTATGTATGTGCCTATTCTGGATATTTCATTGAAATGGAATCATATAATATGTGTCTGGCTTCTTTCATTAACTACCATGCTTTCAGGGTTCGTTGGTGTTATAGTATGTATCAGTACTGCTTTCCTTTTTAAGACTGATGCTATAGACTGAATTGTCTCCTTTCAAATTTCGTGTGTTGAAGCCCTAGCTCCCAGTGTGATTGTATTTGGAGATAAGAGCTTTTAGGAGGTAATTAAGATTAAATGAGGTCATAAGGATGGGGTCCTAATCTGGTAGGATTAGAGGCCTTATAAGAAGAAGAAGAGAGAGATATTTCTCTCTGCATGCACTGAGGAAAGGCCACGTAAGGACACAGCGAGAAGGTGGCTGTCTGCAATCCAAGGAGAGAGCTCTCGTCAGACACTGGCCCTGCTGGCACCTTGATCTTGGACTTTCCTGCTTCCAGAACTGTGAGAAAATAAATTTCTGTTGTTTAAGCTACCAGTCTGTGGTACTTTGTTATGGTAGCCTAAGCTGACTAAGACAACTGAATAATATACCATTGTATGGATATGCCACATTTTGTTTATCCATCTGTCAGTGATGGACATTTGAGTCGTTTCCACCTTTGACTATTGTGAATAGTGAGTGGTGCTATGAACATTCATGTACAGATTTTTGTTTGAATACCTGTTTTCAACTCTTGTTGTTTTGTGAGAGTATTAACATCTCATGGAACTAGTGTTTTGTGGAACAAAATTTGGGAAATTCTGCCTGATATTTTATTTTGATGTTGATTTCAGGAAAGTAAATAATTTCATTTATTTCTGATTTTTAAAGAAAGGTTCGTTACTTTCTCTAATTCTTTATATTTGCAGAAATGATAATTTTACAGGATTTGCTGATGTTAATTACCTTGTCATGCAGGGCAAGTTGCACATATAGAAAAGAGAAGAAGGTTAGAATATTAGTTGTCTTGCTCCTATCCTTTTTCATGAAATAGAAATAAAACTAGGATTTCACCTTTTCTTTAGCATTTCCATCATAAAATGGTTACTAAAAAACTAAATTATTTTTCAAAATATTAGGATACAACCGCACATTGCTCATGGTTCTTCAGCGTTACCCTTACGATAATTTAAGAAATATTTAGCTACCCTATCCACACTTCTCATGTTTAAATCCTTTTTATAATATCTTTATCTAAGAGTTTGCCTTCCTATTCTAGAAATTTCTGTGCTCTTGTGGTAGGAGACACATCACCTCCAGAGGCACGCCATTTCTTCTTTGTTCAGAAAATTAATACTATCAAAAGGTAGAATTTGACTGTCAGGGTTCTTATAGATGGCATATATTGGCTTTTGAGGGCAGAGTGGAGAGACATTTATTAATACATTATTAATAAATGTCTAATAAATTAATAAATAAATTAATAAAACATTTATTTTTAGAAGTGCTTTTACATACATCCAAATGTATTTATTCAACACACTTTTATTAAGTGTCATCTCTGATCTAGTCATTGTCTTAAAATCTGAAAGTACAAAGTTACATAAGACCTGGTCATTAACTTCAAGGAGTCCATCATCTAACATAGGAAATAGATAAATGAATACAAATTACATTGCTATGCAAATATGAGATAATAGAGAGTGCTATGAGAATATAAAGAGTATCAGATTGTCTTCTGAAACAGGTAATGCTTAAGCTGAATTTTGCAGGACAGGTAAACAGTACTAGTTGAAGTAGGGAGGGGCTTGATGGTGGGGGGAGCAGCATATATAAGGGCGTTGAGACTTGAAATAGCAGTGATCCATTCTAGCACATTTGGTATGAGTAAAGAGAAAAGTGTTAGGGTAGAATATAAGGTTAGAAATATAGACAACTTGGCTCTTTCTTGAGATCTTGGCTTAAAATCTCAGAGGAGCCTTCCCTGATTCCCATATCTAAAGTTAGTTTCTCTCTCAGTTACTTGCTTTTTTCCTTTATAGCACCTTCTACAACTTGGAATTATTGTATTTATTCTGCTTACTGCCTTCATGAGGGCAAGGACTGCGTGTAATGTGCTAGAGAGTTTAAGCTTTATTCTGAACTCTTTGAAAGCCTTTTAAGTATTTTAAGCAAGGGAATAACATGATTCAGTTGGTATTTAAAAGTCACACTGGTGGGCTGGCCCGGTGGTATAGTGGTTAAGTTTTCATGCTCTGCTTTGGCAGCCCGGGGTTCATGGGTTCAGATCCTGGGTGCTGACCTACACACCGCTTGTCAAGCCATGCTGTGGTAGCATCCCACGTACAAAATAGAGGAAGATTGGCACAGATGTTAGCTCAGGGCCAGTCTTCCTCAAGCAAAAAGAAGATTGGCAACAGATGTTAGGTCAGGGCCAATCTTCCTCACCAAATAAATAAATTAAAAAAAAATTAAAAATCACACTGGTGGTGGAACCTACTGTATACCAGGTACATATTGCTAGGTGCTGGAAATGCAAAAATGAAAGCACATAGTCTGTGTCTTCAAGAGATTACAGTCTAGTTAGGAGGCAGAGAAGCAAAGAAAAAACTACTGCTGTGGTGGAGGGATCCATGAGTTTAATGACAGCAAAGAAGGAGGAGCCTGGTGTGGGTCTGTGGTCTGGAGTATATATATTCTTTTAGTTGCTAGTGTATAGTGATAAAGTCACTAAAGTGACTTTAGTGACTAATCTTTGGGACTTAAAATAACTTTTTTATCATATTTACTTCAGAGTTATGTTTGCCTTCTGTAGTGAATCTCAGTCGTATTTGTCTCTTTTGATAAGTTAGAAGAATAGGGTAGGCATTTGACCTATGAAGTAGATTTTTCTTTGTGAATTTTGACCATATGTATCTCTTACTTACGTGTTACACAGGTATACTAACTTGTGCAATCAAGGAAAGAATATTTTTTCTGTATGTGTATGAATTAAATATCTGTTTTCCATTAAATTTCTTTTTAATTTACCAGTTCTGCAGATGATAACTAAGTGATTGCTTCCTTTTCTAGGTAAAATGAAGAATGATGAATCTAATAAAGAAAATTCTTCAGAGATGGATTACTTAGAAAATGCCACTGTGATAGATGAATCTACATTGACACCTGAGCAGAGGCTAGGCTTGAAACAAGCAGAAGAACGCTTAGAAAGAGATCACATCTTTCGACTTGAAAAAGTATACTATGTTGTTCTAGTTATTTGGAGGAAAATGCGTGTTTCATAACTGTTCTTTCCCAAGCACAGCTCTTTTTATTTTTCTTCTTCTATTCCTAAGGCAGAGATAGCATTCATCTTTCCTTAGTTCCCTCTTTCCTTTCTTCTTCTCTTCTCCTCTCTTTTCTTCCTTCCTTCCCTTGTTTAGTAAATCCCTATATCTGTGAATCTGACTTCATTCATTCACCGCAAGCGTCTACAAACTATGGCTAGCCCTTCGTTTTTGTTTTTCCGTGTTTCATTTTTTTAAATTGTGGTAAAATACATCTAGCCCCTTATTTTTATAAACAAAACTTCATTGGAACACAACCATGCCCATTGGTTTACATATTGTCTATGGCTGCTTTTGTACTATCATGACAGAGTTGAGTAGTTGCTACAGAGAGTATCTGGCCCTTGGGCCTCAAAGCATAAAATACCACTATTTACCAGAGCATAAAATATTTACCAAAATATTACCTTGTCCCTTTACAGAAAAAGTTTGCTGAGCCTTGATTTCTTTACTCATAAAATAGGTACTGAGCACTTGTTATGTTTCTGGGTACTGTGCCAGGCACTGGGAATATATTGGTGAAAATGTGCAATTTCTGCCCGTTAGAAGTTAACAGTCCATTCAGAGTGACAGAAATAAGTTAGCAAATACTACACGATGTACTAGACTTCCTCCTTTTCTTTTTCCCTTTCCTCTTTTTTCTCCCATACTTACTAAATATCTACTATGTATTAAGAACTGTTCTAGTCATTGGTATGTTGTTCCTGAGTACTAATTAACTTCGTATTTATTTATTTATTTTTATTTTTTGAGGAAGTTAGTCCTGAGCTAATATCTGCCGCCAGTCCTCCTCTTTTTGCTAAGGAAGACTGGCCCTGAGCTAACATCCATGCCCATCTTCCTCGAGTTTTTATGTGGGATGCCTACCACAGCATGGCGTGCCAAGAGTTTCCGTGCCCGCACCTGGGATCTGAACCGGCGAACCCTGGGCCACTGAAGTGAAATGTGTGAACTTAACTGCTGTGCCACTGGTCAGGCCCCTAATTAACTTCTTAACTTAGAAATACGCATTCCTACCCTTAACATTGAAAAGACTTAGGTATTGAGGGAAAAAACTGTAAATCAGCCTGTTCACTATTAGATACTTGGAATATTTGTGAGTATGCATACAAGGAAGTAGGTTATCATTCTTGACAAATAAGAAAAATATGGTATGATTTTGTATAGTTTAGAAAAATGAGATCATTTCTAAATTGAAAAAGGCAGTCCTGGGTATTAATAGAATTTATGACATCGTAGTAACCCTATGAAAATAGAAAGACGTATCAAGGAGTAGAGGCCCATATGTAGGAAAGGGTTTGGGTTAAATAGCTAGTCTCACAAGATCCTGGTTAGAAGGAAATCTTTTTTGCAATTTGCTATTTTACTTAGTTCTATCTTTCCTTTCATTTTCTCTTTCCTAAGCCTGGAATTAGTAGCTATTGTGGATCTGTGCATTGTCAAGATAAATATTGAGTGCCTTTCATGTGCTGTGATCTAGTGATAAAAAGTTGAATTGGGGCATGCCTGACATTTTTAAGAACATAATACCACTTTTCCAGGAATTTACTAATTAGAGAAAAACGTAAGCAAATAATAATAGTAATAATAACAATATTGTTTGAAAATGGGATCTTAGACAAAGGAGTGACCAACTTGAGTTGGAGTATAGAACTTGGGAAACTCAGTTTGGGGAACACTTTATAAGGAAGGGACATTGGAACTGAGTCTGCAGAGTGGCTAGAGTTGACTAGGTGGATTGGGGAAGGATGGTATGGGTAAATTACATGGCATGTATAAAGGAATTGTGAAAAATGTGTTTTCAAGAAGAATAAGCAGAGGACTGGATAGGAACATATGTAGGATATGAAGGCAGAAAGGTCAATTCTTGGGAGAAGGAAGAAGTTGGGGTGGAATGAATATATGATATGATGATAGTAGGAAAGAACAGTTTGGGGTGAAAGAAAAGCTTGGAAGCATGGAAGACATTTTATTTGTTGTTGAATTTAGACAGCAGTGGTGTAAAATCAGTGTGCAAATACCCAGCATAGATGTCTATAATCCTCTTTCTTTATGATATGTCTTTGTTTCTCAGGCACTCCAAAACCTCTTATACTCAATCCAGTATACTCTTAATTAACATTTTTCTTTACCAGCTTTAGACGCTCATTGAGAATATTCTTACCAACTTGCTTTTGATTTCATCAGGTCCTTTGGTTCACAGTGTAGAGATGAAGACTTTTAACCAGTACCAAAGAAGGAAGAAATCCAAACTATTAGATCAGGAGGGTAAATTTACCTATGGCAAGTGTTAAATATTGCCTAGGAAATACCTAGAATGTCCATGGCCAGAAATGTTTATTCTAGCTGGTCCGTAGAAACTTTAAAGAATGTTTATTAGTGTATTTGTTCAATAAAATAAATAAAATATTTTTATAAATAAAATAATAAAAGTAAAATAAAATATTATAACTATAATAAAGGAATTTTTAAACATTTTTCATATGTCTCTTCAGTGAAACTAGAAGCTCATGGTGGTGAGAACATTTTTGTCTCATTTGCCGTGTGCCTAATATAATGCCTTGCACTTAGTGGTTGGTCAGTAATTAGATGTAGTTTGCTTAGTGGTTAAGGGTGTGGTTTTGGACTCACTGGATGTAGCTCTGCCACTTAGTGGTTGGATAATATTAGGTAAGTTATTTAACCTCCTTAAACCTCAGTTTCTTCATCATTAAAAAGGAGTTAATAAAAATAACGACACCTAGCTGATTGAGTTGTTAGGAGGATTAAAGATAATCCAAATAAAGTGCTTGGCACAGTGCCTGGCATATAGTAAGCCCTAAATAAAGATTAGCTGCTTGTAGAATTGACTTATTTTACCAGGTAGGGAAATTTTTAAATTTCATTGTAAGGATATAGAAATAGGCTCCAGTGTTAGAGATTTATCCAAAGTCAATGAGATGTCAGCCCAGGCCTTCTGACTTCCCATTCAGTGTTATACCAAGCTTTTCTTAGTAAAAGAATCCAGACCTGTCCTTGTCTACTAACATTTTACAGTTGAAGAATTCATATGATGAGTGATCTCGTGACTCCCTTAGTGACCTCATTAATATTCATAGATTTAGGTGTTCTGTATTTATACTTTCAACTCGTGAATCCACCCCTTCTTGCCAGTTTCATCACTTGAACCAAGCCAACATCATCTCTCTTCTGGATGATTGCAGTATGCTCATAATGGCAATAAATTCTTTCCGTTTCTATTCTTACTATAGAAGGCAAATGATCCCTTTAAAATACAGATTAGGTCTTGTAATTCTCTGCTCAAAACCTTCAAGGCCTTCCCCTCACACTTAGAATAAAAGCCAGAGTCTTTACAAGGGGCCTTGTGGCCTGGCCCCCATTACCTCTCTGTTGCAGTTATACTAGTCTTTTCCCAGTTTCTCAAATATGGTAGGCACATTCCTGCCTCAGGGCCTTAGCGTTCATATTTCGCTCTGCTTGGAATATCTCTTCCCAAGTATCCACATGACTCAATCCTTCACTTTCTTTAAGTCACTTTATAAATAAGGTCTTAAGTGATGACCTCATTTTTAAAAGCAGTTAATCCCCTCGCCCCATATTCCTATTTATGTATTTGTTTGTGCATTTGTTTGTTTATTAGCTGTCTCACTACACTAGAATGTAATTTCGTGAAGAGAGGAATTTTCATTTGTTTTGTTTACACTATTATCCCTAGCTCCTAGAAAAATGTTTGACATACAGTATGAGCTCAGAAGATATTTGGTGAACTAAGAAGTTGTTGAGATTGAAAACTAAGAGATAGAAGTCTCTTTGAGGGCTTAATTTATACCACAATAAGGACAGATTTGAAAGAATTTTTTTTTTTTTTGGAAGATTAGCCCTGAGTTAACATCTGCCACCATTGCTCTTTTTGCTGAGGAAGATTGGTGCTGAGCTAACATCGTGCCCATCTTCCTCTACTTTAAATGTGGGATGCCTGCCACAGCATGGCGTGATAAGCGGTGTGTAGGTCCCCACCCGGGATCTGAACTGGTGAACCGTTGGCTACTGAAGCAGAACGTGTGAACTTAACTGCTGTGCTGCTGGGCTGGCCCTTTGAAAGAATTTTTATACTCAAGACTTGCAATGTCTAGATTGAGCTGAATTTTCCTATTTGCATGTTGCTTTGGGCTCATTATTTAATCCTTGAGATTTGGTTGCTTTGCTAGTAAAATGGGGAATCCTCGTAGGGTTGTTATAAAGTTAATACACTGTAAATGATGGGCATATTTAATTTGGCCTGTGGCAGGGCCATTGCTAAATTTGGGGCAGGTTTCCCGTTTAAAGAAATCATGTAATATTCTCCAGTGAGAGAATCTTTTTGTCAGGAGTTGCAGCCTATTGAAGATCAATCTGAGATACAGTGTAAGGCACTAGAAACAATGCTTTAAAATACAATATGTATCGTTTTTGTAATTTTTTATTGTGTAATCTTATGGGTAGAGTGTTGGCATTGGATTCAGATATACATAAATTTAAATTCAGTGTCTTCTGCTTAATATTGTTGTATTCTTGTGAAAGTTGCCAACTCTATGAGCTTTTTTTTTTTTTTTTTTCCGTGAGGAAGATTGGCCCTGAGCTAACATTTCTTGCCCATCTTCCTTTTTTGGCTTGAGGAAGATTGGCCCTGAGCTAACATCTGTTGCTAATCTTCCTCTTTTGGCTTGAGGAAGATTGTCCCTGAGTTAAGATCTGTGCCAGTCTTCTATTTTGTATGTGGCACACTGCCACAGCATGGCTTGATGAGCAGTGCTTAGGTCTGCACCTGGGATCCGCACCTGCAAACCCTGTGCTGCCAAAGTAGTGTGTGTGAACTTAACCACTGTGCTACTGGACCAGCCCCTTTTTTATAATTTTTTTTGCTGAGGAGGATTTGCTCTGAGCTAACATCCATGCCAGTCTTTGTCTATTTTTCAGTATGTAGGCTGCCAGCACAACATGGCTGCTAACAGAGTGGTGTAGGTCTGCACTCAGGAACTGAACCTGGGCTGCTGAAGTGGAACTTGGCGAACTTAACCACAAGGCCACTGGGGCTGGCCTTCTATGAGCTTTTATTTTCACGTCTATAAAAGGAAGATAATACCAATCTATTTGGCTTATTAGGGAATTAAAATGCCAAATTGTATGTGACGCACCTAGCGTAATGCCTGGCACATAACAGGGACTATGGAATTACTAAGTTGTTTTATTATTTCGAGAAAACTTATGTATAGTATGACTAAAGTACTGTGACTGATACTTTTCATGTGTCAAAATTGTTCCCTTCAGAGTAGTTAACTCAAAAGGTATCCATTTATTCCCATGAGGTTGTGATTAATTGAAATTTTTTGGAACTCAGCTTTTGAAATTGTCTTCCATATTTGCACTTCATTCTTTTGAAATCCCCTATTTGAGGGTAGATTTTATTTTTTTTAGTAATGAAAAAGACTGAAAATTTGAAACCAACTTTTGGGATAGCGTTAGAATAAGACTAAGTAGTGAGGCTGCCTTTCTTATCTTACCTGGATTCTAAAGACTATATAAGAAGTATTGAACGTGTTTGGCATTATCATGATATTGTTTAAAATTGGTATATGATCTCCTATGATGACTGTTTGAAAAGAACAACTATCTCTTGGGTATGTAGGTACTGATTGGTTTTAAAAACTTATTCTTTCAGTACTTATTTTTGTCCTATATTTACATAATTGTATCATTCACATATATAGTAAAAAATTTACTTCTCTTGTTTCTGAAAAAATGCACTTTTAAACTTTTCTTTTCAGCGCTCACCAGAATATACCAATTGCCGCTATCTATGCAAACTTTGCTTAATTCACATTGAAAACATTCAGGGAGCTCATAAACATATAAAGGAGAAACGACATAAGAAAAATATTTTGGTAAGTTCTTTTTACAAAATATTTATTTTTCAAGTGGTAAGACTATATCAAATATTTTTTATTTATGTAACTAAAAATGAGGTTTTTGTCCAGTCTTGTATTAGTAACTAAAGCGATAGCATTGAAAGCTGTGATTGCTCTCCTTATATTAAGTTGTTAGAAGGGTAACCTTCTCAGAGACTAGTTTGCTTATCCTAAAGTGTGTTAATTCCTAGGTTTAAAACCATCAGGTACAGTTAGTTGAACTGATAATTATTGAGTTCTTATGTGCTAGGTCTAGGCAGTGGTGAATAAGATAGTTGTGGTACCGGCCCACAGTTTCTAAAGTATTGGTGAAGGCATACACTGAATAAGGATATAAGTATGATAGGTTTTATTAAAGAAGTAAATGTGGTGCTAAGGTAGTGTACAAGGATATTTTACTTAGTGTAGAACAGGAATGGTTTCTTTGAGGAAGTGACATTTGAGTTGAACCTTAAAGTAGTAGTTTAAAAGGCAAAAGTATGAGTGGCATAGGGGGTAAGCTAAGAGCATTTTACACACACACAAAAACAGCATGAATGAAGGTCTGTAAGACAGGAAAGGACATATCATATGAGGAACTGAAAGAGTCTAGTATGATTGGAACAAAAAGAGCTAGGAGGAAAATGATGTGAGATGAAGCTGGAGAAATCCAAACCAGGACATTATAAGTGTAAAACTTTGGGAATTCATAATTTTTCAGTTATTTTTATTAGAACATTTAATAGACATGGATATGAGTATTTTTCTTTTTAAAATTTACTAGTATATTAGCGATTTAATTTTTTCATAGTTATAATATTAATACTATATAACCTCTTATCTCTAAGTCTCTGCACTTATGTCTTCTCTGAGAAATACTCTTACCTGACCTTCTCAACAGTCTGGGTTAGGTACTCCTTCTCTGTGCTCCTATAGCAACTTGATCTGAAAACCTAATATAGTATCTTATAAATGTTTGCTTTCTCCCTTCTTCTAGACCTCAGTATCTAATATTTTAGGTGACAGATTTAGTTTCTTGTTTTTGTTTCTGCATTGCTTAGGACAGTATCTGACACACAGTAGGTGCTCAGTATGTTTTTCTTGAAAAAAGAATGCATTAAAAAAATCAGGAACTCGGAAAAGAAATCATTCAAATTTTGCCAGCCTATTATTTTGATTTAATTAGAGCTCCAGAAGACTTAATAGAACGGAGGCAAAGTGGTAGTTTAGGAGATAATAGCTGAGAAATTTCAGGAAATGTTGGAAGATGCTATCATTAGTTCTAGGAAGCTTAGGGAATTCCAAACAAGAAACTTAAAAAGGAAGCCAATGAACTTTATGTATGTATATAATATATATATGTTATATACAAATTCTAGAATGTTAAAAACAAACAAACAAGAAAACCTTAAAAGCAGCCATACTGGACTTCTGCTTTTGGTTGGAATAACCGACTCGATTTACTTTCTCCTTGAAATAACCAAAAAAAAAAAAAAAAAAAACGACAAAAATAGCTAACAGTGGTTTTTAGGCTATGAAGGACAGGAAGTGAATGGAAAGCAAATGAGATGAGCCCAATGATTACTTCAGTTTGAGAGAGTTTGCAGATTGCGTTGTAGGGAGGGGAACCCACTGGACTCCCAGAGTTGAGATGGTCTTGAATCCAGGGAGTCCAAGGTGGCTAGAGTTTGCAGGACAGAATAACAAAAAGGAGAAAGCTATTCAGAGAGAAATCCAGAGATCCATGGGCAGTCTCCTCTGAGTATTCAGCACAATACTGGTTGGTTCATGCATGTGGGAAAGCTGCCTGAAGCCAGAGAAAGAACCACCTGAGGGAATTAGAGAGAACAGTGCGTGGAGCTCACACACATCTGGGAATAGTACCTTTCCACTATCTAGACTGGAAAACCTCGTACTTCATGGGGCATTGGGTAGAGTATTCAGAATGATCTTGTTTCAGTAGTGGGGAATATTTAGCTGTGAACTATGTGTGGTCTGGTCCTAACACATTTTAAAGACAGGACCCAAAAGGATAACTGTTTCCAAGTATTTAATGTCATTACAGAACAAAGCTTTAAAATATTTACAGAAATACAAAATATTCATCACCCCCAAAAAGTTCGCATTGTCTAGCATTTAATCAAAGATTAACTGGTATACAGGGAAACAGGAAAATACAAAACGTGATGAGGAGAAAAATCAGCCAATCAAAACTGACCTTGAACTGATATAGTAGAATTAGCAGAGAGGGACATTAAAACAGTTAACTATATTCTTGATGTTCTAAAAATTAAAGAGAGACATGGAAGATATAAAAAAGATTGAAATCAAACTTACAGAAATGAAAAGTACAGTGTCTAAGATGAAAAATACAATGACTATGACTAGTGGCAGATCAGACATTGCAGAAGAAAATGTTAGTGAACTTGAACATAAAGCTATGGAAACTATCCAAAATGAAACAGAAAAGAACTTGAAAAAAAGAAAGAAAAGAGTGTCATTGAGCTTTTTTAAATAGATAATTGATATATGTGTATTTGTTCTACACACACTTCCAGAACATTGCAGAGGAAGAATGTTGCCCAGCTCAATCTTGAGGCCCACATTTCTCTGATAACAAAACCAGAAAAAGACATTAGTGAAAGAAAACTTCAGACCAATATCCTTCATGAAAATAAATGCAAAAATTCTAGACGTTATTTTAGCAAATTGAATCCAACAGTATATTTAAGGAAGAAATATATCATGACCAAGTGGACCTTTATTCCGAAGTGCAATGTTGGTTTATGATTAGAAAACCAATCAATGTAATTCATCATGTTAACGAACAAAAAAGAAAACTGTATGATCATCTCAGTAGATGCTGAATAGCATTAAAAACAATCCTGATAAAGAGTCTCGGCAAACTAGGAATAGATGGGAACTTCCTCACTATGACAAAGAACATCTCTGAGAAACTTACAGCTAACATTATATTTGATGATGAAAGACTGCTATCTCCCTAAGATTAGGAAAAAAGACAGGTGTGAAAATGGTATAGCTTCTATGGGAAGCAGTGTTGCGATTCCTCAAAAAATTGAAAGAGGAATTACCATATGATCCAGCAATTACACTTCTGTGTATATACTCAAAAGAATTGAAAGCAGGGTCTTGAAGAGGTATTTGTACACCCATGCTTATAGTAGCATTATTCACAATAACTAAAACATAGAAGCAACCCAAGTGTCCATCAACAGATGAATGGATAAGCAAAGTGTCATATATATGTAGAATAGAATACTCAGCCTTAAAAAGGAAGGAAATTCTGATATGCTATAACATAGATGAACTGTTAGGACATTATACTAAATGAAATAAGCCAAGCACAAAAAGACAAATACTGTATGATTCCACTTAAGTGAGGTACTTCGAGTAGTCAAAATCAGAAAGAGAGAAAATAGAATGGTTGTTGCCAGGGCCTGCAGTGTTGGGGGAATAGGGAGTTATTATTAATGGGTATAGAGTTTCAATTTTGCAAGATGAAAAAATTCTGTGAATGATATTGATGATTGTACAACAATATGAATGTACTCAGTGCCACTTAATTGTACGCTTAAAAATGGTTAAAATAGTAAATTTTATGTTATGTATATTTAATAGCAATTAAAAAAATTGGAAAAAAAATGTCCACTCTTACCACTTCTATTCGACATTGTATTAGAGGTTCTAGCCAGTGCAGTCAGGCAAGAAAAAGAAAGAAAAGCCATCCACATTGGAAAGGAAAAAGTAAAACTACGTTTGTAGAGATTTGATTGTTTATGTAGAGCATTTGGTGAAATGTAGAAGAGTTATTAGAACTAATGAATGAGTTTAGTAAGGTTCAGAATACAAGATCAATATGCGAAAATCAATTGTATTTTTATATACTAACAAACAGTACAAAATTGAAGTTAAGAAAAACTTTATGATAGCATTAAAAATATGCAAAACTGTGTACAAAAAATTCCTGAGAGAAATTAAAGAAGAGCTAAATAAATGGAGAAATAAACCCTGTTTATCCGTTGGAAAAATTGATATTGTTAAATGTCAGTTCTTTCTGTACTGAACTATAGATTCAACACGATCTCAACCAAAATCCTGAAGTGAAAACTGATTCTAAAATTCATATGAAAATGCAAAGGCCCTAGAAGATCCAAAACAACTTTGAAAAAGAACAAACTTGCAGGACTAACACCACCTGATTTCCAGACTTATAAAACAACAATCATCAAGACTGTGGTATTGGCATCAAGTAGACACATAGGTCGGTGGAGCAGAATAGTGAGTCTAAAAATAGGCTCACATATGTCTGAGCAACCGATTTTTGAAAAGATTCAAAGACAGTTCACTGCGGTTAAACATGGTTCTAGAATAATTAGATATCCACATGCAAAGAAAAAACTTCAATCCATAGCTTGTACTGTATTAAAAAAATAGCTCAAGATGAATGACAGACCTAAATGTAAAACCTAAAAGTGTAAAATTTCCAGAAGAAAAGATCAGTGAAAATCTTTATGACCTTGGATTAAGCAAAATTTCTTAAATATGACACCAAAGAAAAAAAATGATTAATGGAACTTCCTCCAAACTATAAACTTCTGCTCTTTGAAAGATACTGTTTAAAGGATGACGGTGTTAGCCACAGACCATGAGAAAATATCTGCAAATCATGTATCTGGTAAATGATATATATCTAGAAGGTATAAACAGCTTTCAAAACTCAGTAATAAGTAAACAACCTGATAAAAATAATGGGCAAAAGATTTGAACTGACTTCATTAAAGAAGACATGTAGATGTCAAGCACGTGAAAAGATGCTCAGTGTTATTTGTCATTAGAGAAATCGCTAATTAGAATACCTAAAGTCAAAAAGGCTGTACCAAGCATTGTCAAGGGTGTGGAGGAGCTGCAAGTTGCAGGCAGTTCTGCTGGAAATGTAAAATAGTACATCCACTTTTTTAAAAGGTTTATTTATTGGC